AAGGGCACACTGCTGGCTCATATTAAGTTGGCCCAGCTGGCACATCTGAACCTGCCGTGAGACCTGCGTTGTCCCAGGCCTCAGACAGCATCCCCGGTCTCTGTAAGAAAGGCTCCTTCGGCATTAAGCCCCACTGATTACCTTCATTCCCTCAGCTCGCCTCTAGTGGGAGGGCACCGGGATTCGGGCTGGGATCCTCCGTTCCGTCAGGTGCGCACGGAGCCGCAGCGCTGTCAGAGCAGTGCGTGCCGGCAGGACGAAGCCCGGAGGTGCCGCCTCGGTGTCTTTCCCAGCTCTGACAGCTCCTCAGCCCTGGGCCCGTCCTCTCCTCCCCAGTTTCTCACAGCTAAATAAACAGATACCTCCTCAACGCTCTTTGCTCCCCTCCCGGAGCGGCTCCTGCTCGCACCGCGGCACTCCGCGCAGCCCTGCCGCCGCTTTCCTTTCTCCTCCGCTCCGCCCGGACGATCTCTGCCGCCGCTGACGCGCAGCCCGCGCTCGTTACAGCGGGAGGCATCGGGACACCGCCCGGCGGCGGACGGGCTGCGGGGAGAGCAGAGCGAAAAGTCACACGGGGAGCCGAGGCAGCGCTACGCGGCGGCCGAGCCGGCTGCTGTTCTGCGGCGGGGCAGCTTCGGGACGGCTCGGAGGGAAGCTCGGAGGGAAGCTCGGAGGGAAGCTCGGTGGCGCGGCTGGCAGCGGGCGGAACGCGGCCCCGCGGAGCGGCAGCGATAGGCCGGTCCCTTCCGCCGCGCCGCGCTTCCGGGGCGATCAGGTGACGGCGGCCGCGGGCGGGGAGCGGCTCCGCGGATCGCCGAGAGCGCCGGTGAGCACGGGCGAGCGGGGCCGGTTCCGGGTTCGGGTTCGGATTCGGCTGGGGAGCGGGGGGAGTCGAAGCCGGGACGCGGCGGTTCTGGAACGCGGGGATCGGGCCGGTTCGTCACCGGGGCGACCCGGAAGGCCGGAGCCGTTCGCGGCCGTTCCGAGCGAGCGGGGCGGGGGACGCCTCGGCAGCCTCGGCCCCCGGGCCGCTGTCGGCAGCGCGGCGTGGGTCCGGCCCGGGTTCCGCTCCGCTCCGCCGGGCCCGCGGCGCCGCCCCTCCTGCCCGACCTCCGGCCCCGCCGCCGCGCCGGGCCCGCGGCCGCCTGCCGGCACTGGGTGGCGGAGCTCCGAGATCCTCCCGGGCCGCGTCCGGAGCCCGCGGCGCAGCCGCCGAACGGCCTCTGAGTGGCGGCTCGCGTTGCCCCGCGCTTACCGAACCGCGGCCCCGTTCCTGTTTTCTCAGTAGCGCTGCTGACAGAACGTTCGGTGTTTTACATAACACCGGGCCAGGAGAACGTTCGGTTCCTGTTACCCAACTGCTTCTATCGGTGCTCTTTCTTTTTTAGTTTTCCCCTTTAGACTTATTGGTAAGAGAAGAAAATCTTTGTTTCAACATTCCTACATTTTCTCTATCGCGTTTCTGTGGAACGATTTATAAAGGAGAATTAATTACGTTGCTTTTCTGCTATCTTGTCTCAGCGTGGCACGTTGCTGAGGTGCACTGGTGAGCTGTGCTGGCTCCTTCCAGCTGCCCAGAGCTGTTCAGCAGGGCTGTACCCCAGCAGCGCCTGTAATGCAGCCCTGTGTTGCAGAATCCCAATTAACAAAATGAGGCCAAGCGAGGGCACGCTGCTCTGTCAGGCAAATGGGTGCTTCTGAACGGTCAGATGATGGCCCAGATTTGGATCCCAGGGCTTTAGGGTGATACTAAAAAGCAGCTGCGTGGTGCTGCTCGGGTTATGGGAAGTGAAAAGGTGGACTTACAGGGAATGTTTCAAAAGGGTTAAAATATCCAAGTGGCACAGAGTAAAAATGTAACGAGATATAAAAGTGCCTTTAATGATTAACAGTGTGCCTTCAGTCACATATCTGCTAACATCTACCTTAAAATGACTGTCAAGAAGTAAGTGTACCTTTTTCTGGACGCTGCCAACGATTATCAGCTCAGATCATCTGTGGCTTTTACTTGAAGTCCAGACAGCTGTAATAGGTTAAGAGTCAGATTTCTGTTAAACCTGTGAATGAGAAGTATTTATATAAACTCTGTCAGTATTTTTGATAGGATTTCTGATGTTAATTTTCCTTTTCTACGACATACGTATCCAAAAAAATGACGTTATCACTGCAGTCATAGGAAAAACTGACACATCTTCCCTTCCATTAAAACAGCAGGAAGTTGACAAACTAAATCAGAGCTCATTTCAGAAATGAATGAGGGCTGGATTGTTTCAGAAGTCCCAGATAAAAAAAGATTCATTAGCAAAGAAGGATGGAAAAGTGTCTTTCTCATGGAATTTAAATCTAACAATGCACTATTTCATTGTTATGTGTTAGATGTTGGGAAAAGAAACAAGTTTCCAGTTTTATCAGTAAACCAACCAGTCCTATGGCCTCACTGGTTTCTTTTTTTTTTTTTTTTTTTCCCTTACTGCTCACAGAAGAAGATTAGAAATGAAATACTTAAAACATTCTAGTATTGTACTGCTCTGAACATACATTCTGTAGCTGTTTCACTCTCATGACATCAGCTTCTCTCTGTCTCTCTTCAGTTATCGTTCACCTACTCTGCTCTGTTTCCAATGGGATGTTTTCTATGTTTTAACTTACAATGGAAACTCTCCCAGTCTGTCTTGAACAGCTTCTCTTGTATTTCTAGAGTCAAGTCAGTGTATTTTAGGCAACACAGTCACTTTTAATTTGCTGAGCCCAGAAATACAGTCTTTTACAGTATCCGTTAGGCTTACATTGTACTACTTCTCCTGCTACATTTACAGATTAGTCTTTGAGGGATTTGAGTAGCATTTCTTACTGCCTGTCACTGACATCTGTAGTACTATACAGACTCTACTGGTTTCCCACACTTACTTCCTTCAGGGTCCACCTGCTGCTCTCAGTTGCCATGGAACGTTCAGGTCTTGGTTCACCATCTGCTTCTTGGAGGTCCAGCTTCAGCTCTGTCAGCTGCACTTGCACTTTCAGCACCTCACTGGGAGTCCTGCTGGATCCCTGAACACGTAGCTTCATTTCCATGTCTTCGCCTCCCACCAGGCTTTCTTTAGTTTAGGAAGATTGCTGAAGCTGGCTTGCTTCATAACCGTTCACCTGTTGGCACTCTTGGTACTGTGGATGGGGTGAATGCCAGTGATTCTGTCACTTTTGGAGCAACTTGTTGGGATATTATAGGGGTCATGATTAAAGTGAAATAAACAGCTGGTATAAACAGCTTATAATTTGCAAAGGTAGTAATTTCCTGCAAATATATAGAGAGCAAAACAAGAAGAAAGAAAAATAAGATCTTTGAATGCTTGCAGTTAGATTTTTGTATGCTTTCAATTGTTTGCAGCTTGTGTTCCTAAGATTGATTAGGAGAGCTGATCAAAGAGGAGGGTTTAGCACACCTAGACTGACATCTGTCCAGTCATTGCTCTCTAAATTCTGTTTGCTTAACCCCAAAAGTTGTAGTATATGCCAGTGCACTCGCAGTCTTCATTCTGAGCTCTAAATCAAACAGAAAACGGGGTCTGTTTGGCCTGCTGTGTGCCTCCCTTCCAACTTGTGTCCTGGAGTTTAAATAGGCTCAGGTGCCATTTCAACAGTTTGGAGTTTGTTTGACGTTTGGAACAAGTTGAATTTGTGGTTGAACTCCTAGTTGAGCATTCAGACTGCGTTGCAAGTAATGCAACACAGTCAGTAGTGCACATTTTAGTCACTCGGTGCCATTTCATGCGTGCATCTTTGTAAGTGTGCAGTGTGCTTTGCAGGTGAACAGACGTGGATAGCACTTGTCGTGGACCTTGTTATGTTAAACAGCATCCATAGAGAAGAGGAAAGCATTGTGAAGGCTTTTCAGGATAAGGTTATTTATTTTTGATGTTGCATTTTGATATATTTTTGATAGTTCAAATCATTTAAATCCTAATAGATCATCAAGCTCAGTAAGCCTATGGAGAAAGAATTAGGAGAGGATTCCAGGACAGAGCACCATACACCTTCTAGGAGAGAAAATTCATTGCCTGTCACATTGCATTATTTCAATCTTGTTTTCTGCCTCAGCCATCTTTATTCCATTGCAATAATGCAATAATGGTATCCTTATGGATTTCTCAACCATCTTTCTTCGTAAGTTGCTGTTGGTCTTTGTTTGGTTTTTAATTGTTTTTTTTTTTTTCATAGTTACTGAAGGCTATGAGTCAGTTGTTTTGGGTTTGGTTTTTGGTTGTTTTTTTCAATCAGATGTTAGTGAAGATGTAGATATTATCTGTGTATTTCTGGTGTTAAATATATGGCATTGAATTTGGAGAAAAGAACATTGCTCCCCACGTTGGTTTCAGGGACACAGAAGTTATTTAACTCGTGCATGGTTGCCTTTTGTGGCCACATGTGAGGGCCAGGCATCTTTTGTGCCTGTTCCATAAAATCATGGTGGTGTTTCACGTTTTGATCCCTTTAGTTTTAGGGAGACTTTCTTAATGATGATATTAATTCCCAGCACATGGGATAGGTCTGAGTTGGGAAGTTTTCAAGCATTACTGAGCAAGATAGATGGGTGCTACCAACAGTTCTGGTAGTAGGGATGTGTGAAAACTCTAGGCTTCCTTAGTGTTGTTCGTCATCTGGCAGCTTTTCCATCTGCTTGGAACTAAGATGAATGTTAATTTAGTACAATGAAGTACCTTGCTGCTGAGCTCATTGAAATGACGGTGTGAAATGCTAAGCAGTGCTGAAAGCAATGTGTGTTAAAGTGCAGCATCTGTGAATACTGAGCTGCCCTTCTGGGACGCTGTGCAAAATGATGTAACTGAGTGAAAAGGCTCTGCAGGAATAAATCTCATCTTCTCCCTTGTTGTAGCTCAGTGTCACCACAGCACAACTTTCACGAGGCTTGTGTGTGAAGCTTACTTGACTGTGTGGTTGCATTGTGTTGTATGGAGAAGGGTTTTGACCATAACAGCTACAGATACTGAGGTTTTATTTTGCTGTCCTGAACCTGTGCTGCAGCACTGCTACAAAGAGGGAACGCTTAAGGAAGCTTTAAATGTTTCTGGGGTAAGTTTGCAAAGTATTTAGCTTCTGAAAAAAATCAGGTTCCCCCTTTCAAATGCTTTACTGTTTGTGCTTTGCAAAAGGTTCAGATAGTCACCTGGTTCTCTCTCACAGCCTGTTCTAGGTGTTCACATTCCTGCAACAGATTGGAAGGTTGTTGCTATTGAAGTAAAAGAAATGGTGTTTTTTGATAAATACGATGATACTAAAGAGAGCTGAAAGTGTGCCAGTTTAGAAATTTCTATGTTGCTGCTATAATTGTTAGAAATGTTTGATTGCTCTGAAGTGTGACCAGGTGAGCTCATCTTTCTCTCAGCAAATGGCATTTATGAGAAAATACGATGGCTTTGTTTTGACTGTGGACCTCAATTTCTTGTCAGTAAGTTTAAAATACAGGCCATGTGATAAGTCAGGTCCCACTGCAGGATTTCAAAGTAGCTTAGCCAAGAGAGATCTTTTTTTAGAAGCTACATTAAACTAAAACCATCAACAGTAGGATTCAAGTGCTTCTTAGGTAAATTACTGCTAGTTTGAATAAGGACAAGAATGTGATGCTATAATGCCAAAAATGTGGGTATTTTTTTCCCTTTCTCACTGTTAGGATTCCAACAGGAAAATTTTCTTGCTCTTGTGTCTGGGGAGCTCCTCAGGATGGCAAGTAAAGGACCTACAACTTCTGCATCAACAAAGAGCTCCAGTACTGGAGGGACCAGTGGCAGCAGCAGCAGTAATGGTGCTGGGGACAACACTAATCAGGACAACACTTTTGAATGTAACATCTGTTTAGACACTGCCAAGGATGCAGTTATCAGCTTGTGTGGGCATCTCTTCTGGTAAGTACACAAGTCCCCACAGATAAACCAGAACACCGTGCATCTCTCTGATCATGTCCTGTTTATAGTTCTATTGAATAAAAATTAGTTTTTGTCTTAAAGTCAATAAGGACCCTGGCTTTGGGTTAGAAGCAGTTTGGGTTTGCCTCAGAACTGTTTTTATCTATTAAAGGCTCATGTTCCAGGAAGGAAGTTTTTTGCATCTTAAACTTTTTATACCTTCTTTTGTAAAAGCAGAGCCCTTTAGAAGTTGGTTATGTTTGTTATATACTCCGTGCTGGCTGGGCTAGCATAGGTACCTTTTTCACACCTAAATTCCTTACAGTTTAAAATTCCTTACATACTTGCAACTCCATTTGAAGGCAGGTTCTAGATGCCAAATTGCAGTCTTGCTACGTGCATGTTATTGTTTTCCTTTGAAACTGTTTTGGGGAATTTTTTTTTTTCTTTTGAGGGAACGTGCTTTTCCATGTGATCTGCTTCTCTTTTCCAATGGAATTGCATTTGTAATACTTCTTTCAATTTGACCTGGGTATTTATGGCATATGGAGTATAGTAAGCATCTCAGCTTCTTATTTAGGTAGCTTGGTCTAGAATACACTCTTGAACATTAAAATGTTATGAATAATTGACATGGGTAGTTTGTTTTACACAGGAGGTTAAATTATGCTCTTTAATTAAACGAGGCCTAAAAGAGCATTTCTTTTCTGTGCTAATGTATGTAATGTCTAAAGGTACAGGTTTTTATTCTGAAGGAGATGGAAAATCATTTCCTGAAGTCATATTAAGGTTAAACTATTGGAAGGTCTACTATCACGGAATGGAACCTTAAAGAACAGAACCTTAAAGAATAGAATGTATCTTGTCTGAATAGTGTTGCAAAGATCAGTCTGAAAGCAGATGGCTGCTGAGCAGTTTTAGCTTGTATTTTTTTTTTTTCCCTTGGATACTTCAGTTGCTGTGTTAATTTAAGCTCAGGAATAGTGCTGTATAATGGGGAGCAAACTGGATCTCACAGCTGGCCTTGTTATAAGCAAAAGATAAGACAAGAGGCTGCCTGAGGTCCATTCCAGCCTAAATTATTCCACAGTTCTACAAAAGTGCCCAATGTTTTGACCAGATGGTTCTCATGAATTTTATTAAGATCCTGGAGTCTCATTACTGGCATGTTTCTCATTTGCATCTTGACTCAGGGATATCTTGCTATGAGATCGGAAAAGAAAACTTGCAGTAAATACCACAAGATGAATGAAGCTTTTTCTGGGGCTGTGGTATAGATGAAGGTGCAGGAATTAAAGGTGATGTGGAGATGATCATGTTAGCAACATAGTTAAATTGCATAACCTGGAAATCGGGCTTGGGCTGTGCTTCTAAAAATTGCTTTAATGGGAGGTTGTGGAACTGGACAAACTGGATTCCAAGATTCTGCTGTCTCTAAGCTGTGTTATCCGGGGTGCACTTTATACATTAGCGAGATCAAATTGTGAGTAACTAATTATATTCACCCCCCCCCCTTTTTTTTTTTTCTTCTCTGTGATCAAATTGTCCTGGGAACGTTCACAGCTGGCCTTGTTTACACCAGGTAAGAAAGGTTTCCTTTTGCATTGTCTTTCATCAGCTTCAATGACTCAATAAAGCCCTTCACTCTCTGGAGTATCCTCCCCCTTTTCAAATGCACTTCGTTTTTTCCAGGACAACTGCAGCATGCACAAGAACTTGCAATCTAGACTTTCAGCATAAAGAAAACTTAGATTCTGCTCTGCTTACTTGCCACATTTCAGTTTCTTACCCAATAGGTATTGCTGGTTTTGGTAGAATTACTGTAGGCAGTTCATGAAGGTTTAGTTTGCAGGCTTAACTGCTGAGTGTACTTCTTGCTGCATATGTATGTTTTACCTTGTGGTGCCATTGTAGAACAGGATGACAGGAGGGTGTCTGTGCTAGGCCTTGGCTTATGCAAAGCTGTTGGTACTGCTTATTTCCTTGCATTTTTCCAGTGCAGTTCTAATGGTGTACACATCTGCAAGTGGACTGTGGCAAAACAACAGCCAAAATGTCAGTGCTTTAATGGAGAGTACTTACTATTTAGTACAACATTTTGCTCTGTAGCTTTCTGATAGGTTCCTAAAATCTCTCTGCCTGGCTACAAATTAGGTCTGGATGTTGTTTTCATGGTTTTATTAGCTTTCTTATAATTTCTTTTTTTTTTTTTTTTTTTTTTTAATTTTAGTGGTTAGAAACCAGGCCAAACAGACAAGTGTGCCCTGTTTGCAAAGCAGGAATCAGTCGAGATAAAGTTATTCCTCTGTATGGAAGAGGCAGCACTGGGCAACAGGACCCCAGGTAAGAAACAGAAATACAACTATTTGTTGTATTTCTAGGGTTAACTAGGGTTTAAGGTGAAACTACCAAAGTGTTGGATTCACAGTGTGACGTGTTGTCAAAAGACTGATAGAAATGACAACTCTGCTAAATATTTCTGGCTTTTTTAGGGTTTGAATCTACATACTTTATTTGACTGGCAATTTATTTTAATTGGTTGTTAATTAACAGTTAGAAATAGTAGGCTTCAATGGATGTTATTTGACTGGAGAGGCTTATATAAAATGTTCATGGACTTCATTGTTGATCCTCTGTTTCCAGCCTTTGCAATGGAATTTTTTTTTGTACTGAAAAGTGCAATATCTTAGGGATGTGATCCTGAAAGTTCACGTAGCTGTTGGGTCTGTTCAGCCATGCTATTTTCAGTTTTGCTGCAGCACGGCCCTGTGAGAGCATTCTCCAAGTTTGTTCTGTCTTATGAACCAACTTATTGCAGATACTGCTGTCTGTGTGCTTGAATTTGAGCTAATTCTATAATTTTTTCTAGAGAGAAAACTCCACCACGACCCCAAGGACAGAGACCTGAACCAGAGAACAGAGGGGTAAGGGGAAAAAACAAACAAACAAACAAACAAACAAAAAAACAAAAAACCCTGAAGGATATAGCTTGTTTTCATCAATGGTATTTCTTATTCATCTTGGAGGACACAATGTGTGCATAAGGTCTTGTATGAGGGTCCTGTAGAGATCCCCAGAGGCTGTTTATGAATAGGTGATAGGTGCTGTGTGGCAGAAAACTCCATTCCCATAGTGCTATTTACAGTCCTAAAGAATGCAATAAATTGAATTGTGCTTGATGAAAACAGCCCTTTGTGGAATTGCTGGAAATGCTGTTCTTCACACTTGATAGCTTTCCATATGCAGTCATAAGGAACACTTTGCTTTGAAAGTTCTATAGGATGTTACTGTACCCTTGCATTTTAAGAAGAAAAGAAAAGTAGATATGCTTGATGGATATGTGCAAATTTGAAGTGGGATTTGTGGTTTTGTTGAGGAGATTACATAGAATGCATGTAAACAGCAGCTGTTAGAGATGTTAGGTGTATGTTAGAGATGTGGGGGTAGCTGTAGAGCAGACCACAGTGTTTTCTGGCACAATGACAGTGACCTGATGTAACAATTGTGTATTTCCAGGTAACTCAGCCCAGAGTCCTTAGAGAGCATGTGCCTCATGATTCAAGCAAACAGCTCTACTGGGTGTGATTAAGGAACATTTCTGTATTGTGTAGATTGTATAGTAGTTCTCTCTCACCAGGGAGTTCTTTCTTGTTAAATCATCTGCTGTCCTTGCAGTCAAGCTTTTAGCTGGTGCAATAAGTCAGGGGAGTCTCAAAGATGTAGCAGTAGTGATGCTGTTTTCCAGTTTCCTGCAAATGTAGGCCTTGCCATGCAAAGTGCTTTGCTGTCCCCTGCAGTTATCCCTTACAGCATCCTTCACAGTGTAGCATCTGACAAGAGTCATAATTGAGTATCAGCACAGAAATGTCTGGCTTTTATTATGTGAGTGAAGTCATATTTGTCCTTCATTGTTTGGAGGTGATCAGAGGGGTTTTTCAGAGTTGGTCACAGTTTTAACTCTGAGATCAGAAAACAGTTTGCTGGATTATAGAACACAGAGCAGTGACCCGGCCACTTTTTAAACATGACATAACTACTTAGATTTATATGGTGAGTTGATTCTCAAATGGTACATTGCTTTTATATACTAGGGTTCATCTTAATTCAGAACACTCTCTGATTTGATGTGGAATTTTAGTCTGGAGCCCTTGGGGTCAATGCTGTTGCACTGTAGATCTTCTCTGGTGATTATATGCTACATCAGTTAGAATTCTGATATGATTTTTCAGTTTGTTTGGGGGTTGGTACTGCTTTTTTATAATGACCAGTGCCATCCCACTGGCAGTGTATCACTTTACTGAATCTTTAGGTGATGCACATGTATAAAAAAATCAATGCAGGTTATTCTCTACAGTATCTTTTTTTATAGCTAGGTGGCTAATAGCTGTTAATACAGAATTATTGATACAATTTTTAAATGTTCTGGTAATGTTGATTTTGATGTATTGTCATATACACACTGTTTTAAGTTGAAGAGGTTTATATAAACACTTCTGTTAATTTGCAGCCTTCAAGCACAAAGTGCAATTCCTACTTGTCATTTTCTCAAACCTTTGGGTTGCTCTAGCAAGTTTACTGCTGTGATAAATGCTTTTAGCATGACAGCTTGAGAGGTATTTAACAACAGTGGCAGACTAGAAGTCTGACTGAAAGGCAAACAGTTCTGAAATAGGCTTTAAATTATTTGTACCTTTTTTTCTCTTCTGCTGCTTTGTTCTCTGCAGGGATTCCAAGGCTTTGGGTTTGGAGATGGTGGCTTCCAAATGTCATTTGGAATTGGGGCGTTTCCCTTTGGTATATTTGCCACAGCATTCAACATAAACGATGGGCGACCTCCTCCAGGTACCATGCATCCTTTCTTCTCAGAGAGTCCTATCACAAACAGATATTTTACAAACCCTTTTGTAACTTAAACAAATAACCTGTTAAATGACAAAACTTTCTGAATAGTAAAGTAAATCAGTACTGTATATGGAAATGCAGGAAGAGGGAAAACATGCAGTGGAAAAACACAGTCCATTTCTGACATGTTTTGTGTGAGGGCTTACTCGTATGTCACTTCCATCTGATTTCCTGGAGCAGTCTTGCTCTCTAAAAATGAAGTAACCCCAGAAAACCACTTCCCAGCTGCACTGAGTCAACCTGTTTCGCACAAACCTGCAGCCCAGGTTTTCTCTGGACTTCCTCTGCAAAAGGTGCTGCCTGGCAAATATTCTTCACCATAGCATATGGCCTAGAAATCATAAGAAACAGAAGCATGTTTTTCATGTCATGCCTGCATTGCCAAAGACCTGTGCTGCCCTTTGTTCCACTGAATTTACTTATCATTTGTACTTCGCACTTCACTGAAAATTTTGTGTGTAGATGTGACACAGCAGAGGAAATGGAAATGTATGCTGCCCTAATAGCCATTGTTTAACCAGCTCCTTTGTCTTCTTTCCATCAATGGTGTCTATATGAAGGTTTCAGAAAGGCACATCTTGAGCTTCAAATCTGTGTGCTTTTCATTAGTTCTCTTTAGTCAAGAGTACACACAGAGTTTTATCATTTATTTACTCAGTTATTTCACCTTGAGGGGAAGGAGCTCCTAGGTAGAGGTGGTAGTGTTCCTTAGGATGGAAACACCCGTCAGCAGTGAACGTGGCTCAGTGCTGTCCCCAGAAGTACTCTGAGCACATCTGGATGTACTGTAGCACTCGGAGCTGCCTGCTGCTATTAGTCATGAGCAAAGTTGCCACAAGTCCTGCTGCAGGGAGCTCGTGCTTCTCTTCCTTTTCAGTTTTCCAGCATGGATGGCCAATCTAGGGGTAGGCAATACTGGCAGCAGCAGTTTCTTAGCAGGTGGATTTCTTGTGTGTTTTATATATATGTGGTGAGTGTACTATATGCAGAATATACAATATTCTAGAGAAGAGGAAGATGCTGAGCTGTGTTTTACTTCCTGTTTTCCAGCTGTTCCAGGGACTCCTCAATATGTGGATGAGCAGTTCCTATCCCGCCTCTTCCTGTTTGTGGCTCTGGTGATTATGTTCTGGCTGCTGATTGCATAAATCGTTTCCATTATTCTGAATACTCATAGCCAGAAAGGCTACTGAAACAGTTACAAACTGCTTCCCATCCCATTTTAAACCTCTTGGTGTCTGGTTCCGTAGCTAATCACGGGTTTCAGAAATTGGTGATACTGCAGCACAGTGAAGAATCTCACATTTTTTGCACCACAGTTGGAAATTAAACATTGGTTAAAACGTATTTCAGCTCGGCTGTCTAGTACAACAGGTTCTGACCACAAACCCTGGGCCTAGCTTTGAGCTCTGCTCCTAAAAAGGAGTGCTGCTTTGAAATCCTGTGCCAATCAGTTACAACAGGTTATGTGAAAGACAGTTGCCCCAAGGTAGACTGGACAGGTAAGGAAACTTCTGCAGCCCCATCAGTATCTCATGCTTGGCAAACACGGTGGATCTGCCAGCACTCTGGGTGTTACTCAGTTTCTTCAATCAACATCCTGCCTTCTTCAGGAAATCACCTGCAGCACGGCTGAGACTCCTTGGGCACAGCATGTGATACAAATGGAACCAGGTATGGAGACTGGTTTCTTTTCTTGCTGTTGTTTCCCACAGCAATGGAAAACTCCTGCCTGAAGCTGCTCTAATGGCGATTAGAAGAGCTACTGATTTATGCTGCAATTTTTTTAAAGCCTGAATTTGCTGGAGCCAGACACTGGAAGATTCTCTGATGAAGCTGGGTGAGGTTATCGAGCAGTAGGACTTATCTATCTGCCTCACCCGGCCCAGTTCCTCACTGACATAACAGTGTTGCCTTCCGTGGTTCTGTGCAGCAGCACTTACGGATAATCCCCTCCCATCCCTGCCACTGCAGCTACATTTCTTTCTCCCAGGGCTGTGAGACTTTCTACACAAGGTCGCAAATAAAATCCCATTAACGACCTGAAGCTTGGGGAGAGGAACGAGGGCATCTTCAAGTGAGATTAGAGCTTAAATATGGTATACTGTAAAATCATACGGGAGGAAAAATGAGATCCTGCACGTGCCACAGCGGGGAACACTTGGAAAAGCTTCTCTGTGCAGCCACGCATGGCTACAGCACGGCACAGAACGGCTACAGTGCAAGTCTCGTCAATATCTACCAAAGACACGAATGAGAAGTGCTGGAGGAGACCACAACCATCTCTGTGCCGAGGGGAAAATATTTCTGCAGGTGAAACGTAGCCCGTTTGGAATCGCGTTGGGTGTACAGCTTTAGAAGTATTCCTGATGTATTTGTACAGATTCCTTCAGAAGAGCAGACACGAGGGATTTCCTAACGAGATGAACAATTTTGATATTTCTCTGACTAGACAACTCCATTTCCTTTTTTTTTTTTTTTTTTTTCCCTTCTATTGTTTTTAGATCGTTTTGATTCAGATCACCGATAGTCACGATGATTTCCTGCGAGATGAACCTTGCGACTTCCCTCATGGTAGACTTACAAACTGACAGAACAAATCAAGTCTTAGAAACTTTGTTTCCATAGTTAAGCTCGTTAACGTGTATGGCTAAAGTTCCTGGGCGGGGCACCTCCATGAGCTGTGCTGGTGGTTGGTGGAGGCGTAAGATGCGGTGGGAGCCGTGCGGGATGGAGGCGCGGTCGGCTCCCCTCCCGGCTGCGGCGGAGGCCGCGCAGGTGTCCCGCGGTGTTTGTGTCGTATCGCCCCCCTCGTATTCGGACTGCACACACACAGCCGGTGACGGCTCGTTCGGTGCGTTATTACCGTTTACCGTTCACTAATTTTCACTGTTGTGAAAGGTGATTTAGAATTAAAAAAGAAAAAAAAAGAAAAAAAAATGGTTTTATATTGATGGGAGTCAGCTGCCGTTTCTTTGTGCTTGGCGATCGAGGCGCTTCCGCGCCGTGCTTCAAGAAGAGGGAGGTTGGGGCTCCGCTTCTCTCACAGCGGCGCTCCGGGACGGGACGGCACCGCCGGACCCGCCGCTCCCGCCGCCGCGTGTGGAGAGCGGGGCTGGGGCCGGGGCCGCGCCGCGATTGGTTCCCACCGCGGAAAGGGCGGGCTCGCTCTCTCCGACGGAGCGTGAGGGAGGCGGAGCGCCGATTGGCCTGCGGCGAGGAAGGGGGCGGGGCTTCCCTCGGGGCGTGGCACGGCGCCGACAGAGCGGTTGGCGGGAGGGGGGGAACGGCGGCGCGAGGCTGAGGGAGGCGCGCTCCCGGCCCAGGTGCGGCGCGGCGGTGACGTCAGCGGGGCCCGAGGCCATGGCGGGGCCGCCAGGTGAGAGCCGCGGGGGCGCGCGGCGGGGCGGGCGCGCCGCTCCGTTGCTCGGGGCCTGCGGCGGGGCCGCGCCGCTTCCTGCCGGCGTCCGGGCGGAGCCGCGGGATCGGGCCGCGGCGGCGCGGCTCCGCGGGCTTCTGGGCCCTCCGCGTCCTCGAGCCGCTCCGTGCCCGGCCGTTCCCCGCGGCGGTGCGGCGCTCCGCAGCTCCGGCCCGGCCCCGCCCAGCAGGTGCGAAGCCGCGGCGGTGCCGCGTGGCGCTGCGCCGCGAGTTCCTCCGGCGGCGGTGGAGCGGCGGGGATCAAACGATCGCCGTGGGAGCGTAGCGGGGGGCTGCGCTTCGGCCGCTCGGACGGGACGGAGCCGCTGGCTGCGTGAGCCCACCGGCCCCGCTCACCGTGACGGCGTCGGTTCTCCGCTCCGCTTCGAACTCTCGCGCTGCGGTGACTGCTGGGCTGCTGCTCCAGCCGTTCGGGTGCTGCATTGCGGGGCACGTCCGTTTTGTCGAGCGCTCGCAGTCGCTGAGAGCTGCCCTCTCTCCTGCTGTTATCCGCTGAGCGCGGAGCCGCGCCTCGCCTTGTGCTGCGGGCAGTAGCGCCTTCTGAACTTAAACCAGCACACTGAAGAGGCCGTGGGTAAGGAAAGCATCGTCCCGTGGAGGAGGCATCCTTCCTAGTGCTGAGCTATCCATCCTCTGCAGCTTCCCTGCCTGGCAGCAGACAGCGGCTGTAGGGCAGCGATCGCAGGGCGGTGAGGGCGGCTCCCTTCACCGGTCCGTGTGAGAGCTGTCTTACGTTGCAGGGTGAAGCTGCAGAGGAAAGCCTCAGAAAGAAGGGGCAATCGCTGAGCAACCGCTGAGCTTTAACACTCTTTAGAAACTGGAAGTCTGTGGTTAGTGGTTTTCCTTTTCTAAGCGCAATTCTTTCCTTGTGCATCTTTCCTGCAGTCAGCTCGCAGTAGCAGAAGGAAGCAGCACGATGTGTTCTTTGTGCCGCCCTGCGCTCGGCCACAGCCTCGGCTTTCTCTTGAATGCACCCAAACATCTGCTTGGATCTCAGATAGCATTTCTCTGTGCCAAATTAGTGCTAGAGTCTTTGTACTGTTGTTCTTTTTCCCAGCCTGTGTGCATCCCGGCTGTCTCTGGGGCTTTATGACTTTTTGAACATTGCCAGTATTTTGTGAAAGGACAGCAGGCAGTGGCAGCTTCTCCTCTTCCTAAGCCTGGCTCCAGTGCTGTGTTGGTTGCTCAGTCTCTGCAGGAATATCCTTTTGAGTGTGTAATTCCTTCCTGGTAGTCAAGTTGTTCTCTGCTGAATAAGGATTGTCTTTTTTCCTGTTCTGGGAAATCCAATTAATTACCCGAAAGTGCAGAAATGTTATGTGCTGAGTCAGTGGCATGAGGGGAATGGTAACGTGCCTTCCTGGCGTGTAGCACGGCTGTAGGAATTGTCACACTTGGCCCATCTCCACCTGAAATCTCTGCTCCAAGGGGTGGTGCAGCTCTAACCGTGCCATCTTCTGTGAAAAGTAATATTGTTTTCTTCTGCAGAATGTGGAGGAGCACGTGCTGATGTCAGGTCTGGAGGGAAACAATGGGGGTCTAAGATGTTAAAGTTCAATTTGGGAACCCTAAACACTGGGGCTACGGTATGCCTGGTGTAATTCAGGGCTGTTCTTTATCAGGGATGCAGCAATCCTTGTTTTCTTTGATGTAAAATGGTTGTTGACATCGCCTTGTTCCTTTATACAGGTGAAGAAGTCTGGAGATGCCTGGGATGTGGGGACCTCATTGCTGCTGGTCAGCGCCTCTACAGGACAGTTAATGAAGCTTGGCATATTTCCTGTTTCCGGTAGGTGCAACTTTATAGCTTGTTCTGCTGGCTTGGAGAATGGTGGATGCAGTACCGACAGGAGGTTGGTTGTTCTTGAAGCCATACCCTGCTGTGAGCTCTGTGTCTGACCTGCCCTGCAGCCTGTGCAGAGGCAGCGTGCTGCTGGTCACAGCCATGCTTCAGTACCCACAGCAGCCCTTTGGAACTGACCTTCAGTTCTGGCTGCAGTCTGATGCTGCCTGGCAAGGTGCTGCCATGCTGACGCACGCAAATACAGGAATACAGATAAAGTATAAATGGAGGCTCTGATTTGCTGCTGGTAGCAGAAGCCATGGGTTGCGTCTTTGTCTGCAGTTGCATTCCAAGGTATTGCCCAGGCCATCTGAGCTCCCGTCGCTGTTTCCATATGTGGTAGGTGCAGGAGCAATAGCAGGGTGTTGGGAAAGCTGCTGATTTGGCAGAGTGGGCTCTTGCATTTCTTGCAAGTTCTCAGTCCAGTTTTCATACTCCAGAATAATATTTCTGAAGGGGCTTATGTTTGTCAGAGGAGCAGGAGCTTCTGTTGGCTTCTGGGTAGGAACAACTGTGTCTTGAATCTGGAGAAGTTAATGTTTTGGACCCTGTTAAAGCAAATAGAGGGTAAAGTAAGCCAAAGTGTGGCTTTGGAGGAATGTTTGCTGTGCCAAGACAGGCATCTGTCCCATTGTGTTTAATTTATTACTATAAAAAGACTTGTTGAATTATTATGGTTATTGGTGTATTTTTTAAAAAAGCAAAGCATAATAGGCTGCCAAAGCAACGTTAGTTCTGTTGACTTGGAAAATGTTGTTAGTTAGGATGCCTTGTTAATCACAGCTACTGCTCCATATCGCTGCAAATCCCAGTCTTTCTGGTCTGAGTATTTGTGTTCAGCTATGTTGTGTCAGCTTCACTGAGCCCTGTTTTTCTCTTCTCTCTAACAAGCTGGTGTCCTGTTGTGGAGCTTCTCAATTAGCCAAATTCCAGTGTGTGTGTGCAAGTCTTTCTTCTATGCCTTCTCTTCTACTATTTCTGATGCAAGTCCTGATTTGTAAATGCCTGCGTGCTTCTTGTTGAGGTGAAGGACAGCTGAGCTGGAGGCAAACCCTGCCCTTAATGGCACCGAACAGAGAATGTTGTACTGTAGTTTATAATGTAGAATGGAAGTCTTTTTTTTTTTTTTCTTCCTTTTGGTTTTCCATAGAAATGAAGATAACAGCTTTTTTCCTGAGATGTACAGTAACTTGCTGATGCTCTTTCACTCATGACTTTTGGCTAGCTCTGCTGCCCAGCTCAGAGGCCGTGCTGAGTGAACAATTGGAACCTGCACCAGAGGAAGCTGCCCTTCCCTTTTTCCTCGTTCCAGGCTAGCGCCGTTCATGCAAACACATTCCCAGTTTGCACACTGTTCTCCTTTCTCTTCTGTTATCCCCAAGCCACGCTGGGCAGCAGTCTTGTGCTTGATATCCCAAAGCCAAACTTTAAAAAGCCTCTAATGGCAGGAGCCTTTGGCAGCCGGTAGCTGTGAGTTCCGGCAGCTCTTGTGGAGTGTTTTTTACAGTCTTCCTGTGGATTAGCTGCGTCTCTGGCCTGGCACATGATTTCTCTAATGCTGATTGGCATTGATCCAGTCTCGTTAGATCTGCTAAGCTCGTTAGCTTGGTCAGACGAGGCTGCTGATCATGCTTGGCACTGGCGGTAGCTGACGTATATGCATGTCTCTGAGGATTTAAGTTTTTTGTCACTTCCCTCCTTCCTCAAGCTGCATATACAGGAGCTTTGTCCCTGGAACCTGTGTTTTATGGTGTGGCTTGGAAGGACAAGCAATTCCCTATTCATATATCTTGGATATTTTACATTGTTCTTTGGCTAGCTGATCCTTAGGCTTGAATCTGTTGGGTTAGAGCTGGCTGTGGAGTCTTCTTTTAGATGTTTCTGACACAATCTCTGTTGTGAATTAACTCTGAATGTGCTTTTTTTTGCCTCTGTAATCTGTTGAGTTAGCATCCATTTCAAAGGTCGTTTTTTTAATTGATAAGTGGCTTCCCTGGATTTGGAACTATATTGCACAAGAATTCAAACTTAGATAAGGAAATACAGAGGTGACATGCTGTCTTTTTCCTAGATCTGGATCACTTATATCAGAGGGAATTATTGGAAGAAGAGTGTGTGTTTGTTTTTTACTACCTAGACATGCTGTTCTTTTAGCTTTTAGTCCGTTTTGTCCATATTACAAAATAGAAGATACTGCCTCATATGTATAAAGTATCAATACCTGGTGTTTTGATGTCTGTTGTTTTGTTGATTCCCCCTTCACCCCTCATCTCACCACAGATAAAGACAGTATTATAAACAATTCCCTCTTTTTATAGGGATGTTGCACATTTACACACCTGAGGGATGGGATGCCATCCAGAGAGACCAAGACAGGTTGAGCAGTGGGCTCAGGTGAACCTTGTAAGGTTCAACAAATCCAAGTCTTGCACCTGGATCGTGACAGCTCTGCTATCAGTACAAGCCAGCAAAGTGCCCTCATAGCTCAGAACGCCAACCAGATCATGGGCTGCATCCAAAGAAGCATGGCCAGCAAGGCAGGGAGGGGATTTGCCCTCTGCTCTGTGCTATGAGACCTCACTGGACTGCTGTGTCCAGATGTGGGGTCCTCAGTACAGGAGAGACATGGGCCTGTTGGG